GTAGAGCACTGACTGTTGCATCATCCGGTACCGGATTCACACTGCTGCTCAAATTTCCATTCAGGTGGAACGGGAAATGAGACTAACAAGGAAATTTTAGCTTCATCTGATCTCTATCCACTGTATGAGACTCAGGGGCTGTACAGCTTGAGGCAAGGGCCACTGATTTCACCTCTAAATTACAGATTCACACTTACAGTTGAGTGTTTGTGTTCTTATATGCATGAGTTTACACATTAGCGCTCAGCAATCAGCCTGAAATACTACCGGCCCAGCATGAATACTCCCTACTTTCCTGATTCTGGCCTTGGTCTTACTGCCATACATCCAAGCCAACTACTTTTATTTTTCCAACCCAAATCTTCATAAAACAAACATAAAAGTACTGTTTCCAAGTGGATTTGGTCAAATAGCTGAAAATCTAAGTGAAAAGTTGGTCTTTTTCCCCGGTTATGAAGACTTCCTGCAGCGTCTCTGCTTACAGAAGGTTTTTCCTGTCAGATTGTATACAGGTTACTCTGACACAGCCCAGGTGTATCTCTGTAGGCCTGACCTTTCCCTGATGCATCTCTTCTAATCCCTGCTTGCACTGCTTCAGTCTCCTCACTTGTGGCTTTTATATGCTGACCTTTCTGAGGGTTAGAGATGATACAGATGTCACTGCATCTGTACCGATGTGGTCTAGCAGAAGACGTTCTATGCCATAAACCCATCCTTTATTATTTAGTACTTTTACATGATTATTTATAGAATTTCTCCACATGCCAGAGCTTTAAGAAACATAGCTTTTGTAGAAACATTTTTTTTGTAAGCAGAAAACAATCTATTTTATTATGATTTGAATTTTATGAGTTATTGTTGTGTGTCTTGTTGTATCAAACACTATGTTGTTTTCATTTCGTCACATTGAAAAAAAGGTAGTAAAGTCAGGAATGCAAACTCGAGCCCGTCAATGCAGAATGTAAAAGTCTATATTTTTCTCATCATGAAAAAAGCAGAAAACAAAATATATTTAGCAGAACTTTACACAAATAAATAAATATACTTTTTTTTAGGAATTAGTGTGTCACCTCTTTTCCTTTGTTACATTCTTTTTGGGGACTTGCTTTCAGTTTTTCAGAGAAATCTGTGGGGATATTTTTCCACACCTCCAGAGTTCAGTCTTAGAAGTTAGAAGAAGTAATCACAAATACATTCAATGATGTTGAGGTCTGGATTCTGGGGTGGTCAGTCCATTGTTCAGAGAACCCCAGCAGGTTTATTGAAAGTGGATTACTTTACATCTAACTTCCTCAGAAATATCTCCTGCAAAATTAATAACTCACATTTTCCAAAAAAGATGGCTGTTTTGACTAGAAATTAAATAAAACAAGGGTGCACATTTACTCAGTACTGTAATGGCATGTGTATCATTTCAGTTTTTTTTGGTTTTATTGGTAGCAAAGTCAGTGATCAGGTCTGCCAATATAAACTGTCGATTTTTGACACTATTAAAAGCAAAAAAGCTTACATTGCAGGCCTAACCAACTGCTGACTAACTCAACTAAGCGTTAAAGCAGCATTATGCTTAATTAGTATTTTACTGGGGTCCCCGTACAGCTGCGAATGTAATTCACTTTTACAATACAAATTGTGCTTTGATAACCCCTTCATGGACAGCTGCACATGTGCATTTGGCAACATTAGAAGTGAAAGAGCCATGTTTACTGACAAGTAAGCCAGCTAAAAAGTTATTACTTACTAGTCCAACAGGAGGAAGACCAGCTCGGCATCTGTCTTGCATCCTTTTATCTCTTTTTGCCCTCACTAACGAGTAAAAGCCAGTCCGAGATTTACTCTTGTTTGGTCTCTTGCTCAGTCACTCTCACTTTTCCTCTTCCTCACTTCCTCCGACAACATCTTCTTCAGTCTCATCACAGCGTCTGCTGTGATGTCCATGCTTTGAATACTAAGCTATGTCATAGGAAAAAATAAATTAGGTGACATACTTGTTTGCTACATTAGCCTCATAGCTCCTCTGCAAAACTGAAAAAGAAAGCTTTGGACACCGGTCATTTCTTGGCCAATTGACTATGTTTGGGATAAGAGGGGTGTTGTATAAATATGACTTTATGGTGAACTATTCCTTTAAGAACAGAGGTTTTTGTAGAAGCTCTCTTGACAACTGGCCTAAAGAAATTACACCACAAAAGATTAGAGCGAATCTTTTAGTGGATCTTTTTTTTCCTGGTTGTATGATGAGGCTTTAAGAGCAACAGCAGAAAGCAACCAGAGTCAGAGCAGATCCCTGCGAGCAGGTTGTTTGCAGACATTCACCATGTGGGGCCATTAAGGTTTTCGCCACCGAAAACAGATTTGGGTTGGAGCAGCAGCGCCGCGTGACCAAAGAGTTTCCACACAGATAGCTTACATCTGTCTCCGATACTGCCACAGGCCCCCAGCGGGCAGCTTAGCCATATGGAGGAAACGGATGCTAATGAAATTGTTATGCAACTGGAGCAGGGATGGCCGTAATTTGTTGACTCTGGGGGGCAGCGCAGGCGAAGCGGCGGGTCTCACAGTGTTCACTGTATTATAAACTCAACTGCGTGCTTCGTGGCCTTTAGCCTCAGATGTTTCACTGCCTCCAGTCACTCGCTATCTTTTTACTGACATGCTGAGCGCTGAAGGAAGGAGATTACAGTGCTCTGTATGTCCGTTCATGAGCCTCTGTACATGCTTAACAGTTCGTTATAAAATGTCTTCAGTGCTAAGGGGAAAACAAGAGATCCATGGCAATAAAAGAAAGACAAAGCCTTGTGCCTGGTACATTATGTTAGAGGAATACTTAGCATTTTTTTGATGTAATATCTATCTGCTGCATCTGTATCATATTTCCGATTCCAACAAATAATAATAAACATTTTTCCCTGCTCTATAAAAAGGAACATAAAGCCTGCTTATAGAAGTCACTGGAGGTGTTAAAATCCACAAACAAACATGTGAAATACAATTATAACTACGGTTGTATGCAAAAGTTTGGTCCAGTTTCTAAGTGAAAATATCTTCATATTTCACATTTTAGTGCATGATTTCCCCAGTTCAGAGAATCTGGAGAAGTCCCTGTATGCAAGGAACAAGGCCAACGGTCAATATTGGATGCTTATGATCTTCGGGCCCTCAGGCGGCAATGCATTAAAAACAGGCATGATTCTGTACTGAAAATCACTGCATGGGCTCAGGAACACTTCCAGAAATCATTGTCTGTGAACACGCCATGCAATCCACAAATGCAAGTTAAAGCTGTGTCATGCAAAGAAGAAGCCATATGTCAAAATGACCCAGAAACGTCGCCGTCGTCTCTGGGCCAAAGCTCATTTAAAATGGACTGAGGCAAAATTGAAAACAGTTCTGTGGTCAGATGAATCAAAATTTGAAATTCTTTTTGGAAACCATGGACACTGTGTCCTGCGGACTCAAGAGGAGAGGGACTATCCAGCTTGTTATCAGTGCACAGCTCAAAAGCCTGCATCTCTGATGGTATGGGGCTGCATTAGTGCCTATGGCGTGGGCAGCTTACACATCTGGAAAGGCACTATCAATGCTGAACAGTATATAGAGGTTTTAGAACAGCATATGCTCCCATCCAGACAGCGTCTCTTTCAGGGAAAGCCTTGCATATTTCAGCAAGACAATGCTAAACCACATACTGCATCCATCACAACAGCATGGCTTCACAGAAGAAGAGTCCAGGTGCTGAACTAACCTGCCTGCAGTCCAGACCTTTCACCAATAAAAAACATTTGGTGCATCATGAAATGAAAAATCTGGCAAAGAAGACCCAGGACTGTTGAGCAGCTAGAATCCTACATCAGAGAATGGGACAACATTCCTTTCCCAAAACTTCAGCAATTGGTCTCTTCACTTCCCAGACATTTACAGACTGTTGTTAAAAGGAGAGGGGATGCTACACAATGGTAGACATGGCCCTGTCCCAACTTTTTTGTGTTGATGCCATCAATCTAAATGAGTTAATATTTTTCATAAATTGGTAAAATGTCTCACTTTCAACATCTGATATGTGTTCTATGTTCTATTGTGAATAAAATATGGGTCTGTGAGATTTGCAAATCATTGCATTTTGTTTTTATTTACTTGGCGTCCCAGCTTTTTTGGAATTGGGGTTGTACATGAAACATAAAATACATGTGCCTTAACTTTTGCACAGGCCACATTTGAAGTTTTATTTTTTTCTAATATGGGACGTTCAGCAAACAAACAGTAACTGTGCATTAAAATGTGCGGAAGTGTAGAGCATGTGTTTGAAAATCAACAAAACATGGCATTTGACCAGAGGTGCACAAACTTTTGCACATAGCATACAGCTACAGCTATTACACTCTTACAGTGCAGGCTTTAGGATGAATGTCTCACCAAAGCTGCTCTTATCACCATTAATTAAACTTTCCAACACTGGAAAACTTTCCAGCACAGTAAAAAGGCAATTTCGGCCCTGCATTATTATGCTGGTAATGTACCACAAAATCTTCCCTCTGGAAACCTAGTCCCATATTTAAAAAACAAGTTCCACAGATTTACAGCTTAATTTACAGATGCTATTGAATTCGTGAAAGTCTACGAAAGATACCTGTTTGCATAAATGTTTACTGATGAAGTGCAGCAACTGCCCAATAGATTCTGTCGTAATTGAGTTTGGAGTCTTGCTTCTTTTCTAAGTACAGGGAAACATGTCGAAAATGATTGTCTGTGGCAACAGACCGTATAATACAATTGCTGTAAAGAGGGAAAAGACTGAAAAGTGCTGGAGAACTCCAGTATAATGATGCAATGCACTGTGACAAGATCGTATAAGAGAAGTGAGCCAGTTTCAGAAGTCAGCCTTAAGGAAAGCCTCTAACTAGCCTTTGTTCTGGACACCTAGCTCAGCTGGAGAGGCAGCAGTGCTACATCTGTTTAATTGTCACTTTGCAGTGTGAGTTAACACTTGCTGTCCATTGCAGGGGTATTCCTGGGAAGAAGTGTGGCACCATCATCCTGTCGGCAGAAGAGCTGGGAAACTGCAGGGTGAGTATAGCTGTGTGCTTTGTGTTCAGGAAAGGGGTCAAGTGTATGTGTTATGTGTGTGTTGCTGTGCCAGTCTGTGTGTATACTGTACAGTCACATTCAAATGTTTAAACACTCCCTGTCAAATGACATTTACTCTATAGGGAACAAGCTTAAATATGACATTTTTCACAAATTTGTGTGCACAATTTCTATTTATTTGTTTAACATACTGAAAGGAAGAAAATGTGAAATATAAAATGTGCCATAACTTCAACAAAGGCTACATTTTTAGATGTATTTTTTTCCCCAGTATGTTAAGTAAGTTAAGTGAAAATAAGTGAACACATCTTTTACAGGAAGCTTAAATCTTGCAATTTTATTGAAATTTTAGTGCACAATTTTTTATTTAATATAAAACAAAGTATATGTGCCATAACTTTTGCACAGGTTTGATTTTTTTCCAATATGTTAAACTTAGCAAATTAACACCAACTGTGCATTAAAATGTACAGAAGTGTTTTCTCTGTTGAGGATGTGTACAAACGTTTACATCACTGTATATACTGAACTGCTGGTTTATTACGTAATTGTACTCACTCTTATATGATGTAGGTGCACTTTGTAGGTTTACAGTTACTGACTGTAGTTTGTTTGTTGCTGCACGATTTATCAGCCCCTCTCTACTCTGTCCATCAGTGGAAAGGGACCACCATAAGAACCCTGCCAAATAGATATTACTTGGTTGTTGGACCATTCAGAGCACAGCATTGACAGTGTGTGTGTTGCACTGACTCTTCAAGTGCACCTACAGTACTGTGCAAAACCACACTTTTCCACAATGGACTGACCCACCCCAGAGTCCAGACCTCAACCTCACCGAATGTGTTTGGGATTACTTGGTTTGTGAGAAGCAAAAAGCAACTTCTAAGACTGACCTTTGGAGGTGTGGATAAAATATCCCTGCAGATTTCTTTGAAAAACTGAAAACAAGTCTCCTGAAAAGAATAGAAGCTGTAATAAAGGCATACATACTGAAAAAATGAAATATTACATGTAGTTGTTGAGGCTTCTGCATAATTTCCTGTTAAATATATGTTTTCCACTTTTTTCCTGATGCTGAAAAATGAATAATTGAATAATTACTGGCAACATTGTCTGGAAATTAAATGCATGAAGGGTGGTCTCTGACTGTTGTATATCGCTGCTGCCGGAACAAAAAACTCGTATCTCCAGTTTTTGACATAATTTGGAAGTGCCTGTTTTTCCTTAAATTGTGCGTAAATTTCATGATGAACGGACCAAAAAAAATGGCCCAAAATGACGTGGAAACTGTCTGGTTCCATTGACTTACATTAAAAGTAAAGTATGTTTTTTATTTCTCCTGTAAAGTTACTGTTTTGGCGGTACAAGGTTTTGATCTGACAGCAGTGATATGTATATGGTAGGTTTCGCTGATAAAATGGCCAATTAGCGCAGGTACAAGGTAGATGTCTGCAACTCAGGGCATGTTTTATGTAGGTGTTGCGATTCCAATTTACTTCACATTTGAAGTAAACTTTTACATTGTTGTGTACTGTGTTTGCTCTAGAACTGGCCAGCGCACTTGCCTTTCCATTTATTATGATTATGATTAATCACACCTTCAGCAGCTTTTAATTAAAGCATCCCAGTTGTCAAACTCATTAAAGTATACAGCTTTATTCTGCAGATGGGGAATACGTTTCTGGTGCCGGAAAGCCGGAAGCATTAGTGTAGAAAGAATTAAGTGTTGGGTGTGGAAGGAATTTTGATAGGAATCCATTCACTGCTCAGATGCACCAGATACCAGAATGAAGATAATATATGTAGGTATTTCACTATAAGTGACTCATTCCTTATGATTTAGTGCTTTCACTTGAACTGCTGCGGTAGGAATACGCTTTCCTATGTTATGTTTTATGCATTGCAAAATTAGTTTAGATCTTCTGCATCCAGAGGAGATGATATCTGACTTTGCAGTTTCAACCATTAAACCTCCATCGTTATTTCTCAGAATTAAAGGTGGCAGTTGATTGTTCTGTAAGAGCAAATTACATTAATGAAAAGTCCAATAATTCGACCTTGACGCTGATGGTGGTTTGGTTCCTCCGTCTAAAGCTGTTCGCTGGTTACTTCTCAGCCTTGGCACGTAGCTCCTTCATTTAGCTGGTTATTGCCCTATAGAAGCAGCATAACCATGCTGGAGTATTTATAGCCTCACTAAATGCAGAGCCTGGAGCTGGATCTCCATAGATGGTTCCCAAGGGTGTGTTAGAATCCATAGAATGATTTCCCCTCCTAATCAAATGCCTACCAGTTTAGCCTTTGGGAAGATGGGAGATATTGATGGGAAATGTTGAGGAATAAGGCCTTAGGATTTCAAATGGATCATTTTGGATTAGCAGAGCAAAGAAAAAAAAAAGATTCATCCCCATTCAGTAAGTTTAGGATCATTTCATCACTTCTATAAAATATTATATAGAATGCTATCAAACCCTGGTTACCATAGTTAGGATTTCACCCATTATATTTTACATGCTTTTTTGGTGTATTGAATAAAGAAAGCAGTTGATGGACATAGTACATTTTAAAATTTAATAATAATAATAATAATAATAAAGTAACTGAGCCATGAGACATAACTGAGCTGCTAGTTAATGTCCTCCTTTGTTTGCACTGGTCACTAAACACCCCAGAAAACTACATAAATGCTCCATCAAACACATTTGGCAACACGTTATCAATCAGTTACTTACCACTGTGTTCACCCTATCCTGCTATCCTTACCACTTTGTCTACTAGGAAACATATCAGTAATCAGGCTAACTCTTGAAAACAGGATTTTTGTAGCACTAATATCTGCCAAGAAAACTATTCTGAGTTAGTGTTCTCCTCCAAGCATGTTGAGCTGTCCAGTGATGAAGCATTAGCAGTGGCTGACTCACCCTCACAGCTTTGTAGCATCATGTGATAAAGGTACAACTTAGAAAAATGTGTCTTAGTAAATGCAAGGGTTATATATTGAACCCTTAAAGAACAACTTGAGTAAAATAAATGAATACAATCTTCTCTATGATGGAAAGCCTGTTGTATAAAGCTATAAAAAGATTCTGCTATTGTTACAAGTCTTTTTTCATACTATATAGAACCTTTTTTGTTAAGACACGTCCATATTTGTTTTCTCTATAGAGAAAGTGTTAACTTACTTTCACTAACAAAATCAACAAAACATGTTATTTGACATGGGGGTGTGTACAAACTTTTACATATGATTTTAACTGTAATTATGTGGAAGACCTACATTGTATGCTATAAAATTCCCCTCTAATTAAATACCCACCCCAATAAATAAATAGATAAATCACAGGCATCCCTAAGAGTTAAGCTTAGCAGAGTGGATCAGGGCGGTAAGGAGGGGGGGTTATTCCTGGTGAAGAGCTTGCTCTGCAACGGCTAAAGCATTCATCTCCCTTTGAGCTGCTCACTGATGCGGGCAGTTGCTGGACACCATTCCACTGAAGCACCTTCATTACAATATCAAAAGGATTTCTATTGCTTTCTCACTCTCTGGATCAATGAGAGAGCTCATTTGTAGTTCTTTTTTTCCTGAGCTGCCCATATTTTACAACAAAGAGCTTTCATTCTCGCTGAGGAGTGAGGTGTCATCAATGGAATGGTGTCAACTTCTTGCTATATAGAGCATCCTGTCCTGATCCCTCCTTTGTGGGCTGGAGACCTGAAAGGTTCATTGAGTATTCACCCTTCTTCTAGCTTCATTTTTAACCTTGTACCTTCCACACTGGAGAGCAGTGTAGATGGCTTTAGAAATGGAATCCTGCCCTCTTGTTCCTTCTTTCTGAACAAAACTGACCCGTTCATCAGAAACCAAGACTGCATCAGCAATGAATGAACGATTTAGCTGAATGGGGTTCATCCTAGCATGACAGTCTGAAAAATAAAGGTGCCAAAGCTCCCAAAACACTTGGTACTAGGAACGCTAGATCATTTGCCTTCAAAGAATAAATATAGATACACCCGACTGGCCATCTCATTAAAACCACCTCCTTGTTTCTACGCTCATTGTCCATTTTATCAGCTCCACTTACTATATAGGTGCACTTTGTAGTTCTACAATTACAGACTGTAGTCCATCTGTTTCTCTGCATACTTTGTTAACCCCATTTCACTCTATTTTTTAATGGTCAGGACCCCCACAGGACCACCACGGAGCAGGTATTATTTGGGTGGTTGGTCATTCTAAGCACTGCAGTGACACTGATGTGGTGGTGGTGGCATGTTAGCGTGTGTTGCACAAGTGGATCAGACACAGCAGTGCTGCTGGACTGAGAATAGTCCATTAGCCAAATACTGTTTGGCCAAACGTATGTGGACTCCTGACCATCACACCTTTATGAGTTTGTTGGACATGCCATTCCAAAACCAGAGGCATTAACAAAGAGTTGAAAGCCCCCCAACCAAACATACCCCTACCTTTTTGCGGCTATAACAGCCTCTCTTCTGGGAAGACTTTCCATAAGATTTTTAAGTATATCTGTGAGAATTTGTGCCCATTCAGTAAAAATAGCATTTGTGAAGGCTCTGTGCAGGCCACTGGAGTTCCTCTGCACCAGACTCACCAGACCATGTCTTAATGGACCTTGCTTTGTGCACAGGAACACAATTATGCCGGAATAGGACAGGGCCTTCACCAAACTACTGCCACAATGCCAGAAGCATGTAATTGTCTACAATGTTTTTGTGTGCTGCAGCATTAACATCACCCTTCACTGGAACTAAGGGGCCCAAACCCTGAAAAACAGCCTCAGATCTTTATCCCTCCTCCACCAAATTTGTCTATTTCCCTATGCATTCTGGTAAGTAATGTTCCCCTGGTATCTGTCAAACCCAGATTTGTCCATCAGACTGCCAGATAATGAAGCGTGATTCATCGCTCCAGAGAACATCCTTTCACTGCTCCAGAGTACAGTGGTGGTGTGCTT